CCAGAGAATGACGGCTGCTGACTGAGGGCCCAGCTCTGCAGGCAGCAGCGCAGAAGTAAGGGTGGCAATACCATACCATACCTTCCTTACTTCTGTGCTGCTGCTGGCAGGGGCTCTGCCTTCAGAGCTGGGCTCCCAGCCAGCAGCCGCTGCTCTCCAGCTGCCCAGCTCTGAAGGCAGCACCGCCACCACAGCAGCACAGAAGTAAGAGTAGCAGTACTGCAACCATCCCCCACAATAACCTTGCGACCCCCCCACCACCACAACTCCTTTTTGGGTCAGGATCCCTATAATTACAACACTGAAATTTCAGATTTAAATAGATGAAATCTTGAAATTTATGATTTTTTAAATTATGATCGTGAAATTGACCAAAATGGACCGTGAATTTGGTAGGGCTTTACTTATGTCTAAACAGACAATGGGGAGGGGAAATAGAGGCAGAGAGTGAAGTGACTTGCCCACACAGATAAACAGCAGCATAAAGCTAGATAGAACAATAGAAGACCTAAGCTTTATCACCAGCTCTCTGAGTCCCAGTCTAGTGATCTATCCATTGTACCATGCTGCTTTTCTATAAACATAATGCCTGCACTTTCAAACTGTTGGAAAGGAACAGTAGAATCATTGGGTGTCATGTGAATTCAGCTACTTTTCTATAATTTATATGGGGACAGGCAATATGATTTGAATAAAATAAGAATTGAGCAGAAGAGTCAATATATTTTCCCCTCATTTATTTTTCAGTTTCAGCTTCCTGACTGGTCGAGGAGTTGCCAAAGTATCCGATCCCTCCCTCATTTCCAAGGCTGCACAGCTCTGATGGAACTCCCTCACTGGCCACTGCCTCAAATCTACTGTTCCTGGTGGATTTCAGAATGCAAGGCACCGAAGTTATTGCTGACCCAGTTCTCACTAGCATAGGTGGGGTCAGGGACTCCCTGCAGGTTTTAAGTGTGTGTGTGGCAGAGGGGAGGCAGAGCCTTCAAGAGAAATCTGCCTCCTCCTCACATTGGACCCCGGGCTCAGCAAAGACCCAAACAGAAGTTCCAAGGTCTTAATCTAGTGTAATAACGTGGGTTAAGGATTACACAAATAGGGTAACATTCACCTTTTCCCTGCAGCTTGGAACTGCCTCTGGAGAGTCTCTTAGTTCATCTCTCCCACTTTGAGACAACAATTGAAAAGGTTTCCTCTTCAGAAGTGTGTGCGTTAATTGTTCTTGGGCCATATGTCAGACATTTCATTTAATGATGCCAAAGAGCATGTCTCCACTGCAAAAAAAAAAAAAACCAAGTCCCGCAGCAGCAAGTCTCAGATCCCAGGTCAACTGACTTGGGTGTGTGGGGCTCACTCTACAGGTCTGACAATAGCCGTGTCAACATTTGAGCTCAGGCTCTGAGACCTTCCCCCACAGCCAGGCTCTGAAACCCAGCATTAGGGGATGGTCTCAGAGCTTGGCTCCAGTCCGAGCCCAAACGTCTACAACTGCTATTTTCAGCCCTGTAGCCTGAGTTAGTTGACCCAGGCTCTGAGGCTTAATGACTCGGGTCTTTTTTTTGCAGCGTAGACATTTTGTATTGTCACCAAGCATTGGATTGTTTTTTATATTTTGTGCTTTCTAATATTTTAATTGTTATGCTGATTTTAACTATCAAAAAAGGAGTGAAGACTCAACATTATACAGCTCTTACACGGCTTGGCATGAATATATGTCTGAATAAAGTGTTTGTCCTTAATGGCCTGGAAATCTGAATAAAAATTGTACTGATTTTACCATTAACCAATAAAAAGTTTAAAATCACTTAAGAAATGAATACCAGCTTGTAGGTTGGATCCATTGCAAAAGTGACCCATCTAGCCCCCAGAGGGGGGGGGGGGAAACAAGTAACTATAGTACACTCTAATGGCCTAATTACTACATCATACATGGACTAACTTCAGACAAGGATTCCCGCTCATAGACACTACTGGGAAACAAAGGGGGATTACATAGAGAAGCAAGCAGTTTAAGAATTGGGGTGGGTGGCAGTCTAGAAAAAATGAAATGAGTCAGATCACACGGCCCTTCTGCCTGGTCTGGTGAGGATGAAGATCTGTTTACTACTGCAAAAGAATAATTAGATCCTTCCTATCAAAAGGATTAAAAAAAATGTTTCACCTCCCCTCAGAAAGAAGAACGGGAAAAAGAGAAAGGGAAAAAGGAATACTCCCCAAGCAGAGGAGAGGAGATGTAGCAGCCAACTATAAGACTACCACTTTAGTGCTGCAGCTGTTTATCTCTGTCAAATCAAAAAAGGCCAGCCAACAGAAAAGCAGGCTGAGAAAAGTTTCCTACACAGGAAAGAGTTAACAAGACCCATTCGGTCACCCAAAAGAAAGAGCTGCTCCTACATTTTATATGCCACTACTATGCCAAAAAGCCCTTATTGACAAGACACAAGGAAACAGACCAAGTCACCATAATTTTTCCCACTTTCAGATCCCTTTGCTATACTAAGTAGCAAGTAAAACAGATTCAGCAGTAAGAATTGAACACACTACAGTGATTTAATCAAAAAGTCAACAGTGAGCCATGCCCTCTTACTTTTAATTAGTGCTCCCTGAGAAATTCAGATGAGTTTGGAATGCATATCTCATTCTGCTCTTCCCACCTCATGAAAGGGTTTGACAGGATTAGGAGATAACATTGCTTAGCTGGCAGACGGGTTGGGCCTGCCTGATCTCAGTCACAAATAGTGTAAATCAGAAGTTACTCTTGAAATCAATGGAGTTATACCAGTGTAAAACTAGTGTAGTGACAGAGCAGGATCAGATCTGTCATTTTATTGAGGGTTACAGTTTTGCACAAACAAATATTGCTACAGATAAAGACAAGAAACAGACCATTTAGGTGAAGGAATTTTGCAAGGTTAGATTCACATCATCTTTCTTGCATAACATCAGCCTTGCTATTTCTCTCCAGCCACACCTTATTGACAAGGTGAGCAGAGGTATCTACCCAAACAGCCTTTGATCTTTATGGATTATTGTCTGAGTGAAATGCTAAATTTTCTCCATATCTTTGAACATGAGTAGGCACTCTTCTACGATTGGTTTATGATGTGTTGATTTACTTCAAAGGGCCTCCTTTACAGAAGATATTTAAATATCAGTGTCTTGATCAAGCAAGTCTACCAATTGCCTACACATTTGCTAATCTACTTGACATAGCATTACTCATCATCAGTTATGGTGAAACGCACACCCCATGTAGGAGGACAGCTCAAAGTCTATGTACCACTTGCGTTCATTCATACCCAGTTTAAGTGGGATCTACATAGAGTATATGCTGTGTGCTAGCCCTCTGCACAGAAGTGAGTTTCAGCCATAGTGAACTTATATACATGGTTATGAGATGTTATTGATTATTGAAGTGATATTGAAATATATCTGTGAGACTGTGAAGCTCCAACATCTTACAGTATGTGTTTTCCTCCCTAATGACTCTTCAGATTGAAACAAATACTTTTGCCAACTCTCATGATTTTGCACGTCTCACAGTAACTGGTGGTTTGTTTTTTGGTTGTTTTTTTGGGGGGGGGAGTTGTTATTTTTATAACCACAGCTGCTAGAGTTGTGCAACTGCATGAGACTCTTAACTGTGTTTTTTATTTTTAAGTAAGTATCTAGCCATCATGGCTCCAGAGAAACGTATGGAAACGTGACCCCCAGTGAAAGGCTCAGAAACAAGATAACAAAAAAAGCTCCAATTTTCTTTTAAAAATTTCATGATTTTTTAACATTTGGGGATGGCACTACTGAATACTGCAGTGGTGAGCACTATGAAAATGACTAAAAATAAATAAATTAGTTAATTAAAATACGTAGATGGCTTTTATCACACAAGCTTATATAGAGAATACAATAATTCAAATATGGTAACTTTACTGAAAAAGTGTGAGAGCCTATACCTTTACATTAGCAGGTCTAAATACATGTAAATCCATCTGCTTTAATAAGCCTGATTCTCCTCTCATTTATACTGATGTAATCAGGAGTAATTCAATGTTAGTCTTCCGATGGTGTAAATCAGTGTAGCTTCACTTGATTACAATAACCATTGGAAGTGTACTAGGCTGAAAATGCCTGTAAGACATAAGGAACTGGTTTGTACAGTGCATAGCACAATGGGGTCCTGATCTCAGTTGGGACCCATGGACACAATTGTAATACAAATAGTTAATAATAAAATAAAATAAAATAGGGTTAGTTCACACCTGCATTTTGGTGTTCTGTGGGGGCCAGAGCAGATGGATTGAGCAGCAGCAGAAAAAGCCACATTTCAGCACTGCAATATAGAGGAGTCATCATTTCTGCTGCTTCTCCACATGACTCTCTTGGGAGGATCTCATTCTGTGTAATTTGTAATTACAGGGACCTAATCAGTAAATTCCATGTTATAGTTCATGTTGTTATATTTCTGAGTTACTTTCAATCCTTGCCTCTAGTTATGGATCTTGCTGAATGTATGGGGAAATGAATGGAGAAATAAAGCTAAGAAGCCGCTTTAAACAGGGTAGGAGTATTTCCAAGTCAACACAGAGAAACAGTGGGACATAATACTATAAATGAAGGACAGATTTAGTCACCTACTACATCTGTAGCAACTGCTTTGGCACCATGTCATTGAGCCCAACAAAGATTTTATTTAACACTATTTGTATATACAACTTTTTTATTTTAATGACCTACATTTAAGCAGCTACTTACTATTTTACAGTGGCTTCATACGGGGGACGGGGGGAGGGAGAGGGGAGAGATTCAACTACAGAAACTCTATTTAAAAATCTTTGTTGGTCTTCTGTTTGCCAGTCTAGCAAAGCAGCCAATTTGGAAAAGCACCTTGTATGAAAACCACAGCAGTCCCTGGATGGTACAGCTATCTTCTATCATTTAACAAGGACTAAAATCCCCAACTGCAAAACCAGTCCATCTACATACCTGTTAGCACATACTCTGCACCCTGAGTAGTAGCCTTGTGCACCACATTTATTTATTGCAATTGGGAATGTAATTTCTTCCAATCCCTACAAAAAGGGGAAAGTAGAGAGACAATCACATTTTTTCCCTTTCAGAAAACTATTTTGCAAAGTACAAAAGCACCCATTGCCCACTGATCCATTATTTGTAGGAAGGGAAGACCATGAGGGGAAATATGAGGATTTGAAAGCGAACAGGAATAATTTTTGGAGGTATAATTAAATATTTATGTTAGCAATGTTCTGTTTGGTTATTAATTATCTGATTTCCAAGAAATATCAGAGGAGCATTTGGGACCAGATTTTCTAGAGTTCAGCATATTCACTGGGTCTTTTTTAGATCTGGCCATAAGCTTCAGAATGGAAGCTGCTAAGTACTTTTGAAAATCTGTCCCTTATATATCTGCATAAGAATGGGTATACTGGGTCAGACCAATGGTCCATCTAGCCCAATATCCTGTCTTCCAACAGTAGCCAGTGAGATGTTTCAGAGGGAATAAACAGAATAGGACAATTTATCAAGTGTTGGAGAAAAAGTGATCCATCCTCTGTCATCCAGTCCCAGCTTTTGGCAGTCAGAGGTTTAGGAACACCCAGAGCAAAAGGTTGCGTCCCTGACCATCTTGGCTAATAGCCATTGACAGACCATGAACTTATCTAATTCTTTTTTGAACCCAGTTATACTTTTGGCCTTCACAGTGTCCACTGGCAACATGTTCCACAGGTTGACTGTGCACTGTGTGAAGAAATACTTCCTTATGTTTGTTTTAAACCTGCTACCTATTAACTTCATTGGGTGACCCTGGTTCTTGTGTTATGTGAAGGGGAAAAATAAAGATTACACAGCACTCTTCTAAAAGTAGGGAGTTGTTCTAATGTCTACATCCAAAATTCTCATTCGTCTGACATTAAGCATAGTGTGCTGTGTGTCAGTTGTTTCCCTCCACCCCAAGAGGTTAAGGTGGCTAAATTTCAGTGGTGGTGAAATTTTCCACAGCCCAAGGCAAAGGAATAGGATTTCTCCTCTCTTCTCTCTCCCAGGGAGTTTCCAGGATTAGCCAAGTTTACCTGTCTGGGCATTGGCAAGTGAATATCCATACAAATGCATTGCATGGACACCACACAGAGAGACACATACACAGACAGACACACACACACACTTCATTTGGACTTTGTATACTAATCTTTGTGTGTAACCTTTCCATTCATATGTGATATAGAAGGAATGGAAGTTCTACAGCATTAAAAGGAGTGGCAACAAACAGCAGTCAAATCAAAACTCTAGGCACACCCTGATCACCACTGGTAATTTTAGAGCTAATTAGCATATGAAAATACTCAAAGGATAGCTTAGGTGGTGAAACAATCTCATTGGAATCTGATACTTCAGAGACTGAAGTGCTGATAGGAAACACTCCAGCAGAGAAAGGATTCAAATAGGTTCCAGAAATCTCTAGATGCTAATCACCTGTCAGTATACAGTACCATTGGACATTGACTTGTAGTGGTTATGTTCAGCCAACAAGGGTACTCTTGCTTCTATTCTTATTCACACATTCATTGCGGGCTGGAAACATTAGCTTAAAATCTAAAAGACAAGATTAATATCGGGATTGCCTCCTCTTCCTTCAAGTGATTTTGTATTGATGTAAATCTATTGACTGTGAGGGAATTCTGCCTGAATTACGCCAGGGTAAGTGAAAGTGGAATGCGGCTCTTTGAGGCCATTTTCACTGATATTATCGTCAACAAGCATTATAGAACACCTTACATAACATAAAACAGTAATAATAATT